ATTAAGCGATCTTAGGCTCATTGAATTTGTCTCCATACTTAATTCGGCTATAAGCTTTTCAAATTTTAAATTTGCACGACCTTTCAATTAGCCGCCCAATACTTCCAAAAGTGGTTCAGTAGCTCAATCCAAACTTGATTTGAGTCGAATTGGAAGTGTTTGTCCATCTTTAACGTAAGTTTGTTGAAATCTAAGTTCTGTATTGTTTTTAATTAAAGTTTGAACTTTTCTTGCTTAAAAATGCTCCTAAATTCATGCCAATCGTCTCAAGCTTCGAGTAAAATGAAAAATTTTATTGATGAAATCAATAACTAATATCCCCCATATCTTTATTAGTCAAATAATCATCTAAATAATGAAACTTATGATAAAGTCTTTGGCTGTGTTATATGTTTTCAATAAATTCCTCGAGACACCATGACTGTATTTGAATTCTTTTAATAGGCAATAAGCTTTCAACTTGAATAAATTTTAACTCTACGTGTCCAAATGTTCATTTTGTTAAGCATATATGAAAAAAAAATTATCCAATTTAATTATTTATGAAGTTAAAATCAGCATTCATCTCTTAAAGCATATAAACAAATTAAATAGAAATTTCTGTTGATGATGCCTTGTTACATGGAAATGGAAATATAAACATTTTGGCTGAATAACCGACTTCAAGCAAATACAAAGTTTTTAATTGTAAGGTTTAATTTAGTTAATTATGTTAAAAAAATTACAACTAATATTGGAACAATATATATATTAGCATGATTTTTTTTTTTTTTTTGGAACATAAAAAGACTCTTAGCATTCTAATGCATTTAAGAGGGTTCGTTGGATCATGTGTTATTATTTCTCAACTAATTCCGGAGAGACCTTATGGAAGAGGTAAAAGGGAGCTGAGGAATTTTTAGAGAGTCTCGCTCCTTCAACTTTGGTCAAGGAGAAAGGAGGAAAAATTTGTTGAGAAAGAGAGAAAATTTTTAGAGAGTACAAGAGTCGTAGTCTCTGCTTCTTTTCTTTTACCTCCTATTTATACGCCGTAGTCTATGTGCCCGTGTCAGAGGCCAAAGAAATAAATAAAAAACTACATTATATGTTGTATTGTATGAAGCCTAAGTAGATTCGACGTCGATAAGAACTTTAGCATGGATGCCACGCGGCCAACAAATGGATTTATAGATGACAATGAAATAAAGTTCTCTTCATTTGCCCTCAAATAACTATTCATCAAGCTCGGTGAAGTAACCAAGTAGCGATCAACGAGCTCGATAGAAGGATTTTATCGGTACAAACGAGCTTAATTAAAGAATTTGGGACATATGAGCGAGCTCGGCCGGAGGAGCTCACTTGAAAGCTTAAGATTGGTTAGACAGGTCATAGTAACTCATATGAATGCTGGCGAGCTTTGGAGGTACTCGCTAAGTCCTTTTGGGCAGCAATAAGTTATGTATCTTGTCTCTCCAAAAGTATGGTTATTGAATCCTAGATTGACTTTTGTGAACACACCTCGAGAGTAAGGAGTCGGGTGAATTAGAGAACAAAGTGAATCAAGAGTTACTGTAAAGAGAACCGAGGAAGCTCCAATAGCCTGCCTACCTTTGGTCGTCTTTTTCTCTTATTTATAAGAATGTATTGAGTACAATTACAGAAAGTAGGGAACAATTATAGAAATCATTCTAAATATGACCAGTGCTCTAATAAATTGAATGGAATTCATTCCATATTTGTATTACAATTTGAATTTTGATATGGTTGTAATTGGTTAATCGATTCACTAGAATGTGGCTGAGTGAGGCAATGGACTGGGTGAGGACGGTGCCTTGTGTTTGGTCAACCAAGGCATTCGGTCGAAAGACAATCTCATTCGTCTTGGTAAAAGCAGGTTGGTCATTCAATCACGATCAGAAGGTTTCTGCTTATGCTTCTGTCGGTCGGTCGGTCGCCTGATGAGCTAATTTATTTTTGTCGGGTGAACCGTGACTCACTTGTAGCTTTGGCTTAAGTCTTAAGGAGCCTGAGTTTCTTCTACCTGGTCGATTAGTTGCTTCAGTCGAATACCCCTATTTGCAAGGTCTTAAGGGGATCTTGTCATTTCCTCGGTGTTGTATTCGATGAGACTTGCTGCTATATTAAATTATGCATCACCCTCGGCGAATCTTGTCATTATTGGGCGAAATGTCATCTCTAGTGATTTGACCTGTCCAGAGTTTAGAGACACGACTTCATCTACTTGGCGGTGACTTGTCGGTCGACTATTTAAGCTTCTTGTTTTTGTTCATTCATTCTATTTGAGATTTGCGCAGGTAGTTCTAATGTATACATATTAGTTCCCCAAATTTTTTTGCTCCATGATTGTGAAGGTTGTAATAAGGATATGAAAATTATTATATTAATTATGTCATAAAAATCAAGAAAATTTAAGGATTAGTTCTTCCCGTATTTTCATGTTCGGCGTGTTTTATAAATAAGGTCAGGAGTTGGGTTTTCCATCTTTTGCCAAAGTTTTTCAAGATGCTCTGTAGGCATCATGTCGGGTGGCATGAGCAACAAGACGATCGACCTGAACCTATTGATCATGGAGTGGTATATACCTGCTCCGACATCTGTCCCAAAGAAGAAAAGAGGCAAGAGACGGTTGGTCCCGAGTTGGTCGACCGAGTTGCTTCTTCCGAGAGGCCTTAAAGATGGTCACCAAAGAGGCTACAGAAACTCGTGAGTGCTAGCCCGAGTAAGGTTAGGGCTGTGGTTTACCTGTCGGCCCCATCCGGGGAAAAACAACGATCGTCATAACCAAGGGCAGAGGTGGCAGTTGAACCTTTGCTGCTGACCTAGGGGGAAAAGGGCGGAGGCACCATAGCAGGAGAGGAAGGTCGTCCCATGCTGGGTCAGAGCTTGAGAGGCTCGTGGTATGTAAAAAATTTCTTTTGACTTTTGCCGTCATAATAACTTAGTCTTCCTTTTCAAAAGTAGATATTTCGGTCGGGTCGGAGCTTTAGAGGCTCATTTGGATGTAAAAAATTTCTTTTGACTTTTGCCGTCATAATAACTTAGTCTTCCTTTTCAAAAGTAGATATTTCGGTCGGGTCGGAGCTTTAGAGGCTCATTTGGATGTAAAAAATTTCTTTTGATTTTGTTGGCGTAGTAACTTATTTTTTTTCTTGATTTTCTAACATACTATTTTTTTCCCTTAATTTTTTTATATATTGCGAATGATAAATACACGATACATTCAACTGCATATATCTTGCTTCCTCATCTACATGATTTTTATGTCCTTTCAGTAATTATATA